ATTCTTTTTTTGCTTTTTCCATTGACAAAAATTAAAAGTAATCAGTTTTTTTTTTTTTTTTTTTCACACATTTAAAACTAACTTTTTTTTAACATAATAATAATAATAATAAATATTATAACAGGAAATTAATTTTTTCGGTTTGTTATATAATTTAACAATAATTCTTTCTTATAACTTAATTTATTAATTTGTATTAAATTTTATCGCTGTATATAAATCCCTCCTCCCGATGAAATATACTTGTATGGATGACTACGACTTCTACCTTGAGTATCTCTAAAATATGTCGCTTGTACATTGGTTTCTTTTGATATTTCAATGTGAGCAAAAATTTCAATGGAATAAAATAATTTTCTTATTTGTCGTAATAAAACGCAATTGTCGTCTTTTATTTCTTCCGGTGGATCATCCGGAAAAACGTTTATTTCCTTTTCCAAATCTCGTAATCCGTTTAAATTTAACGAATTATAATTTGTCTTGTGAATAAATTCGATTAAAATTAATGGATATTCTTGAGGATAATTTGGACTCACCGCTATGTAAGCAATAAATTTTGTCGGATTCAAACTCAGCATCGCTTTATAAAACATAAAACTGTTGTCTACAATGTTTTCTTTAATTATTTGTTGAGCTGTTGGGATTTTAGAAAATTCCTGTAGAGTTATAGTTAGGAAAGATGTTAGAGTTGATGATATTTTTTTATGCGTTATTGAGTATCCGGTTTCCAAATTGTAAATTTCTCTGGCAAGAGAAAGGCGGTTTTGAAAACGATTTTTAATTTTTTTCAACGTACTTTCCAAGTTCTTTTGAGATATGTTAATGACAACTTCTGGAGATGAGGGTAATATATCGATTCCGCAAAGTTCTTGAGCCCATTTATAAGGTATTCCTAAATCTGAATTTTCATTCGGTAATGAATCTAATCCGGCTCTGTGCAATTGATAATAGGCACTAGGATTAGGACAAGATTCTCCTGAATCTCCTAAAAAATATAAAATTAATTAAATAATTTGTTATATTCTTAATTACATATTTTAATAATTTTTTCTTTTTTAAATTTATTTAAAAACTTCACAAGTTACTCGTATTTTGTATTACAAACCTGAAAATAAATATGAAAGGATATTTCGGGGGGCTAATAAGTCATCAGCAGCAATTCCAAAAGATTCATTGAGTGTAGTCGATGGAATCACACATATTATTTCTAATACCACCAGCCATTGAAATTCTATCATTAATACTTCTCCAGTTTTTAATGTAATTTTTAATAATAGCGTCAACGGATGTTTTTTTAAACATTCATTTTTTTTCTGTTCAATTCTATCAGAACTATTTCCAGCACCAGATTTTCTCCGATCTTTAATAAAAAACATAAAATTTTTTTAATAATAAATATTGAAAATAATTAAAATTAAAAATAAATTTAAAAAATTTTTCGTTTTTATACCTTGAAAATTTGTCTTTCTTCTATGTGATAAATCAGCATCATCTGAATCTGAGTCATCAGATGAAATGTCATCTAAATGTGATTCTTCTGCTGATGTCTTATCACACTCTCCTTTAATACTAACATTTACCTGCGGTAAATTATTCTTATTAACAATGATAAATTAAGATTATTAAATACCAAATAAAAAAAAATGTTTAACTTACCCATTTAACAACTTGACTGTATGCATCCAATTGTACAAATAATACATAAAGAGGTTTGGGTAAAAGATAAACTAAATCCATTAATTTTCTACTCTTGTCGTTAGGCATGGCTAGATATTCTTGTAATGGTTTTGTAGCATCTAAAATATTTTTGAGGGTAGGAGCTAAATTGTTCAATTGTTCTTTCTTTGTTTCAATCTCTTTGGCAACAACTTCTTTACTAGCTTCTAACTTTTGACATTGTGCAGCTAAATCTTTTCTTTGAACAAGTTCCCATTGCAGTCTTGCTAATTTTAATTCGTGGTCATTTGTTTTTGTTATTTCTGGTTTAGATATTGATTCTGGAGCATTAGCATAAAATTCTTCAATTGGAACCAAATCCATTTCTTCATCTTTTGATTTAAATTCAAGACATTTTTTAACTTCTTTAGTTAAGTGAAGTACTTCGTAAAGCATATTTTGTAAATGTAGATGATCACTATCAACTTGTTCTCGAGCTATTTGCAATGCCACTCTACTTTCTTTTGTTCTTACTTTTTCAAGGCGATTCAATTTTTTAAGCATTAGTATTTTCAAAGAAGCTTCAATCCTTTTTTCTTTTATCAAAGCAGATGATGTATCACTGTTTTGAGCTTTCAAGTCAGCTATTTCCATTAGTAATGTTCTTATTTCAGAGCATATTTCCAAATACAGCTTTGAATCTTCCAAAACATCTCTTTCTTTAGCTTCTTTTTCTTCAAATTCAACTACTTCATCGTATAAATCAATTTCAGGCGATTTTGATGGATTTACAGTGGTTTCGTTAGTCGTGTTTCCCTTGGCCACTCTCCTTTTCTTGGCTGCAATTTGACTGTCAACTTGTTCAACTATTCTAATATCTTTAGCCATTATTAAAAACAATCTAGGTATTTGTTATATACGTTTATTTTTCATAAAAACAAACAAAACTTTTTATAACAATTCATGCCGCATGAATTGTTTAAACGGAGATAAATGTCGCCAAACGGTCAATAACCTGATTTCTCAAACACTGTAAATAACGCTTTTGATTTATTTTGCCATTAATTAACAAAAATTTTTAATTCTGCTGAGCTATGAAAATGTTTTTCTCGTTTCTGTATCAATAATTAAGCGGGCCTCTTTTTTTGAAATATATATTTAAAAAATTTTTTTATTTAAATTAAATGATTGACTATTTGTAATTGGAACATTTAAATTTACAATAGATTTATAAATTGGAAGTTAATGACAACGCAGTGTAAACGCTAAGCCACACAACAAAAGCTAAAACTATAAAAATAATTATTTTAGATCTGATTTTATCCCAGCTAATAAAATATTGTCTAGATCTTTTATTACAAGTGGCAGGACTACATTCACTTCCGCAAGTTTGACATTGTTTATCAGCAGCTAATCCAGTTTCGTTAGAATTATTTAAATCAATTTTATAATGATGAAGTTTTCTACTATTGCAACCACTACCGTCACATTTATTTTTGCATTCTTCTTCTTCTTTTTTTAATAATAATGTTTGCCCCAGTGACTTAAGGGAAACTTCTGCACAGTGAATGGCACTTTCACGTTTTGTGCATGTTCCACTATCATCTAAAACACAGAAACCAGGATGCGAAGAGCATTCAATGTTTGCCACTGGGGGTTGTTGATCCCCATCTCGGTGATCGTCTATTTTAATACTTACACATGTACAAGTTTTTTTTTTTTTAACTGTATTTTTTAACGGTTTCTTTATGTTTGTAAGCATCATACAATTATTTACTACATTACAACATTATACAAAATACAATAAAAATTATTAAAATTTATATATTTATTTTTGAAAATTTTTGTTTTCAATTCTAGAACAAAACAAAGGCACTAAATAATAAATTCATAAAGCATGTGCATGAATTTGATGTATTTTTTTTTTTTTTAATATGTTTAAATAATTATAATTTTAAAAATGAAAGTTTTAATGAAGGAAAATTACAAGCTAAAAAAATTTTTTTAACTTAATTCTTCTTTTTAAAATAGAAAAAAAATTCAATAAATAATTAACCACCTTTTTTTTTTTATTATTATTATTATTATTATTAATTTCTCTTTAATATAAATATTTCTATATAAAATGTTGTTAAACTACCTTATGTCACAATTTAAAACTACACATTAAATGGCTTTTTTTTTTTTTTGTCACAATACCTTTTATGCCATCGAAACAAGAATTAAAACTATTCATTTGAAAAAATTTACTTAAAAAATTTTATAAGTAAAATTTAAATTTTTAATTTCACTGAGAAATTAATTAATTTTTTTTTTTTTTTAAATTTATAATTAAATGTACAACATAAATTTCACTGTAAAGTCATTGTTATAAATTCACGTTATGTAGATTTCGTGTCAATTCATTAAAATATTAACTATTTTACTACTTCTTTCATTCATTCATTCATTCAAATTGAAAGAAAGAAAAATTGCAAACAAACACCTTATTGTAGTGGAATCAAAAATTTTAATTGCATTTTAAGAAGAAAGAAAAGAAGGGGGCGGGGCGGGGGGAGGAGGAGGAGGCGGGGGGAAAAATTTAGTTATGGCCATCCATTTTAATAGGGGACCTATATTCCAAAGCTATGTCGAAATCTTGCAAGACATTAATTTAATGAGTGAAAACGTTGACGTTGGCGGTTGATATTTTCATGAAGATTTTCTAGGATCTTGACGATACCTGAAAAAAAAAAAAAACAAAAAAATTTATCCATGCAATTAAACAAATCCCGTTAACTTACTAAAAAATAATTTAGTTTAATATTATAAATAATTAGAAGAAGAAAAAAAACAAAAATACCAATTGAAAAGATTTTTAAATTGTTGTAAAATGTTTTATTATAAAAACCTAATAATCTAATCCTAATTATGTTAATTTATTAAAATTGACCTTTTTTTTTTTTTTTTTTATTTTCAGATTGCGGAGAATAGTCGACAGGGAATTCTTACGAATTTAACCGGTTTAAAAATAATTATAGTAAGTAGAACGTATTAGAATAAGATTGAGGTAGGTAGGTAGGTAGGTAGGTAGGTAGGTAGGTTCCATTTTCTGATTAACTGGAATGTAAAAAAAATTTCGGTAAAAACTTTTCTTTTCTGTTCCAAAGAGATTTTTGATTTGCACCGTGTTAAAAATTTAGTAATTTTATAAATAGGATCAAAAAAAAAAGAAAATTACTGTTTTTGCATTGTACTGTAAGATGCAACTCCAGATCCAGCTGAGTTTCCTCCTGATCCGCTTCCACCAATGCCAGAACCACCAGAAGAGCCGACACTAGCGTAACCCGAACTGCCAACAGTGGTATATCCCGGCCAAGAACCAGCCTTTAACATCATTTTAAGTTTTAAAACAACCTATGCAATAGTTAAAAAAACTTTTTTTTATTCTCTATTATTTACCTGTGTTGTAGTTGTTTGACCGTAGCTGGCATAAGCCGCAGCCATCGCTGAATTGTCAGATCCAGATCCTTGAGAAGAATCCGTATTGGCAGAAACGCCCTGGGTTTGTTGTTGTTGCGACCAATTTTGCTGATATTGATTATAGTACTGTTGGTTCCAACCGGTATTTCCCCAGCCTTGATTACCCCATCCTTGTTGGCTCCAAGCCTATAAATAAGAAATAAGCTAGAAATTTTCTCCAAATTTTCTTTGTTTGTCTTTTAGATAAATAATTTATTATTAAACAAACATCTTTAATTAATTTATATATTTCTAAAGTTTACCTGTTGCGGCGGTTGACCATAATTTTTCCATTGTTGTTGATTATATCCTTGATTCCAATTACTCCAAGCTTGATTTCCATAGTTTTGGCCCCAGCCTTGATTATAACCTTGGGATTGACTGCTCCAATTCGCCATTTGCCCCTGCTGCTTTTAAAATAATACACGTTTATGTTGATTATGTTTAAAAAAAAAAAAAAAAAAAAAAAAAAAAAGCAATAAAGCTTAGAAATGTTAACACGTACCATTGGTTTTTGGCGATTTTTATCGTCTCGATCTCCCCGACGATCTTGCATTTTATTACCGCCGAGATTGTCTCTTCTATCTCTGTAATCGCGATTGCGATCTCTCATATCACGGGAGCCATGACCTCCCCGATCATTGTAACGGTTAGGAGGACCTCCTCGCCAACCACCACCGCCTCCGCCGCCGCCGCCGCCACCACCACCCCCTCTGAAACATTTTAAAAAATTAAAAACCATTCAACAAAAATTATAACATTTTAAATATTCAAAAATTATAATAATATTTACCTATTATCTCGCCATCCACCACCCTGCCTCGGGGGTCCTCCCCATCCTCCTCGATTATCACCTAATATAAAAAATAATAATTAATTATGTGGGTGATTAAATTTTTAAACTTTAAGGTATTTCAATACATTAATTATGCTATTTAAAAGTAAAAAAATAACCTCTTCGCCTATTATTGAATCCCCTGTCTCTCCATCCATCATGTCCTCCTCTATTATCTTGACGTCCTCTGTTATCCATTCGCCTTTGTTCTCCACTGTCTGATCTTCCGTGGTTAGTAAAATCCCTTCTATCGTTACGAGTATCCTCCGCTCGGAACCTTTTCTGTTGTTGATTGTTACTGAAAAACCCATGTTCATTGCCTTCCTTGTTATATTGCGCTACTAATGCGCGAGCTTCCGCTTCTTGAAGTTCAGTATACACGACTTCATTAAATATTTCTCCCTTTTCTGGCAAAGCAAAATTTGCTGAAAAAAAAATCAAATATTGTCATTTATAAAATTGTCGTCACAATTATTGCCAAGATATTACTTAATAATCACATTTTTATTAAAACTTTGTTTGCGATCAAAAAAAAAAAAAAAATTAACGTGATAAAAATAAAGTAATATCTTGTCAAATTTTTTAGGATTTTTATAGAATGGAAAGGAAAAAGATTTTCGAATGGTTACTCCTTTCAAACAAGCCTTAATTATTCCCAGTAAAAAAAAAAAAAAATTGTAATCTGTCATTCGAAAATCTTTAACAGGAAAAATTAAAAGACGACTAGAATACATTAAAATTTGAAAAAAAAAAAAAAAAAAAAAAAAATTTTTTCGGTCAGAAATGAGAGAATGAGTGAGTGAGTGAGAGAAAAAATAAATTTAATAACTTAAAAGACAAAAAAGAAAAAAAATTAGAATAGAAATTATTTAAAATTCACAACGCTAATGATTCCAAATATATCTCAAGTACCCAAAAACCAATTTTTGAAGAGGAAAATTGATGGAGGAAATGGACGAGAAAAAACGGATCATAAATTACCAAGCTCCCCCCACCGGAGTCTAGAATGTACCCGACACATGATCCGTTTTTTCGGGGACAAGATCAAGGAACAAACCTTTCATTTCCAAAATAGCGCTATCAGGTACGTCTTTCCCCTCTTCCGCTTCGCGTTTTGCAATCCTAGATTTGAGTTCCTCATCTGTTGGGACAATGACGACAGCTCGTCGCACGAAGCCTTCAAACCCGCGCATTTTGCGCCTTTGTGCAGCCGGATATACATTTGTCTAGTTGATAACAAGCAAATCAGATTAACCATGTGTGTGTATTTGTTTGAATATATATTAAGGGAATGTTTGTGGATAATTGTTTATTTTCTTCTTATTTCTCCAAATGAACTGTTGAAAAAATCATTCTGCAATGATAAGTTCTTTAACACATGGTTTATTTTATTTTTTTCTTTTACTTTTTTTTTTTTTTTTTTTTCAGAGTCAACGGCCTCCCCCCCGCCCTACCTAATTTCCCCACTCACCTATTTCACGATGTTAACACACAATACATGAAGTCCACGACTAATTAATTTTTGTAACATTAAATTATTAACATTTTAAAATAGCTTTTTTTTTTAAAAATAAATTCTATACGAAATAAAGACTTATTAATAATAATTTTATCATTTTCAAAATTTTTAACTTGTGCTTTTCGTGGAACAATGTTCAGAGAAAAATTATAAATTTTTTTTTCTCTCTCTCTCTCTCTCTCTCTCTCTCTCTCTCTCCATATTTTTCATAAATTATAAAAAAAATTATTTTTCAATTATATAATATTTGGCCCAAGGTTTATATTAAGCTCCTTTTCTTACTTATATTTTTTCTTATTTGTCATCTTAAATTTCAGTTATGTAGTAAATTAAATTCCCCAATATTATAATAAATAATATTCTTTACTAAACTTGATAAACTAATATTAGTAATATTTATTTATTTAGTTATTGTACTTTCTTTTTTTTTTTAATCATATAATTAAGCGATTTAAAAAAAAAAAAAAAAAACGTTTTCAATTCTGTAGTCTGAAATATTTGAAGATAATTTTAAATATTATTAATTTTAATTTGAAAAATTATTATTACATTTTTTTTTTGTCATTATTAAAAATACTTTAATAGGTACTTATCTACCTAGTAAACTTACCTCAATAAATTTTTATATATTTAAAATGACCCTTTTTTTACGACTGAACGACTTAAAATTAAACTGACCTGGTTTTAATTGAAGATAAATTTGGCGACAAAATTTAAATCCTGTTAAAAAAAAAAATTACGTACCTTTTTCCTGGGGGGAAAAAAATAAAATTTTGCCTGTTCTTTGCCTGTGTTGCAAACGTAATGTAACTTACCTTGTATTTATACTTAACCAATTCTTGAAAAATTTCAAATAATTTAAAGAAAATATTTTGAGACACGTGTATTATTTTGAGATACTAACATGGCTACATTTCAATATTGTCAATCAATTAAAAAATAAAAACCGTTATTAATAATTGACGACTTGTTTAAAAAATTAACTTTAAATTTGTGATAGAAAACAAAAGTTTTAAGTTTAAAAGTAAAGTCGAGTCAAAAATGCTCAAATACTTAAAGTTAATTTGCTTTAAAAATCGTTTTACTTCAAAAAAAAAAAAAAAAATTTTTACGTTAATTTTCAAATTCAAAATGAAAATGTAGACATGTTAGTCTCAAAATCAGACATTTAAGATTCATTAAATTTAACGCGATCTGAAAATTAATCATTTAAATTTTTCTTACTTGATCAATTATGTAATTCCGTCTTCTGTAGCCTCCCATTTCAAGTAACGTGTTTAGGCATTTAGTACATTTTTCGATCAGTACTTCCCATCGACCGGAATAATTTCTTTTTCGGGGCACTCCCATTACCTGTAAAATAAAATTAAGTTACTTATTAATTTTTTTTTTTTTTTTTTTTTTGAGTTACTACATAAATTTAAAGTTTATTTTTTGTTTTAGATGAACCCCACATTGTTTAATCATTACATTGCACTCACCTTCATTTTATCAATCAATGCGTTTGTACCCAAAATATTGTACATCTTGTCTTTGTGCTCTTCGGCATATTTCATAGCCCATGTAGTTTTCCCTGAACCCGGCAAACCGCACATCATTATAACCTAAACGATTTGAAAACAAAATTTTAACTTTTTAATAATAATAATAATAATTGAAAATGGTTTTTTTTTTACCGCACTTTTTGTAAAATATTACGTACTTCACAATCTTCTTTTCTTTCCGGACGTTTTGGACCTGGTATTCTATCTTCAAGTGGAACTTCGCCAATATTTGTAAATCCAGGCAAGGGTTGGGCCCATGATTCGCGATTCCCAAAGTTTACTTCAAAGCAGCAATTTTTTGTCAAAATATGAGGAAACAAGGGTTGCCCTTTCAATTCTTCACGATCTACATTGTAGGCTACACCTTGATATTCTCCATTAAGAGTGTAAGAAATTTCAATTGGATTTGAATCCATATTCTGTTAAACGCAATTATAAACTCTTAATTTTTATGTGCATCGCATAAATATATTAGCATACGTAAATATATGTATAAATCTTTACTTGTATGTACTTTAATTCAATTCAAAAACGTCATTACAATTTTTTAAAAATTATAATACTAACCAAGTAACAACCAACTACATCATTTACTATAAAGGACTTTCCGTAATTTTGAAATTGGCAATTAGTCGAGATTTTACCAGTACCGCCAAAACCGTAAGATAAAGGTTCCTCACCCAATTGTAAAGATGTTTTTTGAACTGACCATCCTACTCTAAGAATGTTTGGATGCATTTCATTTTCCAAATACGGAACTTTTATATTCTTTGTAATCTAAAAATCGTTTTTTTTTTAAAAAAAAAAAAAAAAAAATGAAATTCAAAATCATTAGGTAAAGAAAAACGATTATATTTACTATTTTTACTAACCCGAACTTCATAATAAATTTTTCCTTTTTCAAAACCGTAAGTGGCACGAACACCTGCCCATACAAAGCCAAAACCGTTGTCGCTAAGTAAAGTAGCAGAAAAAAAGTTTTCCTTACTTATGAGCATGTGCAAATCTGAATCGACTGCAAAAAATGAGTTTTTTAATTTGATTTTAGAATTTAATTTTATAATTCAATTAATATTTTTATAAAAAATAATTAATAAAACTTACACCAACTAAGCAGTACGGATTTTTCATCATATTCAGGTTCATCATCCGGTTTTCTAACGGGAGGACTAGATTTTCTTTTTTCACTGGGAGATCTAGGCCTTTTTTTGGCTTCGTTTGATTTTGAATCGCTCCAACGATTTTTTCTATCTTTCTCGTCAACTTTTTTATCATTTGATTTAGGAGATCTTTCTTCTTCTTCTTCTTCTTCTTCCGTTTTCATCTCTGCATTTTCAACTTCCTCGGTTCGGATTTCTTCGGTTTCAGGTTCTTTAATTGCTGCATTAATAAATATTGTTTAAAAATTTTTTTACAATTCGATAAAATTATGTTTGAAAAAGAGAATTTGAAAATTTTAATAATAATATAACCAAAAAGTTTACTTTTTAATTCTGATGTAGGGGGCTTGGTATCATCCACTTCCATTTTTAAATCTTCATTTTCCTTGTTATCACATTCTATTATTTCAGGGCAAGGCTTGGTATCTTCTGTTTCTGTTACATTGTCTGGCATATTCTCCAACTGTAATATTAATGAATTATTAAATTTTTAAAATATAAAAGTATATAAGAACTAAAAAGAAACTTACAGCATCTTGAGCATTACTGTCATCCAAGTGAAGTGAGCTATCATGCATTTGAAAAGATTGCTCAGATTCATCTCTTGTATCTTGCTGAGTTGAGGTATCTATAAATTGGTCCTGAAAAATATAAAAGTAAATAAAAAGTTTTTGATAATTTGTGAATTTTTGTCTTGCATTTTTTAAATCAAATGACTGAAAAAAGTCAAAAGGTGTTTACCTCAAAGTTTTTTTTTGAAGAACTATCTTCATGAGAAAAACTTTTTGAAGAATCTTCTTCGTAAATTTGAAAATTTTCTTTTGATTCATCATCATTTTTAGGAATATCTGGCTCATTTGTAACATCTACAATGGTTGTTGATTGTTCTGATTGCTGTGTATCAGTTGAAATTAAATTAGCACCAGAAACTTCATTTATTGACTTAGAGTCACTACAATCTACACTTTGAACTAATGCATCTACTACTGCATCATTTGTAGGTGCATTTATATTTGAACTTTCATCTGCACTAAACTCGCTAATAATAGGTTCTTCAATTTTTGTTTCAGGATTATCAGACTGAGAAGAAAAATTAACTGAATCATCTTCTAGGTTAGTTGCTTCAAGCTCTGAACTTTGAACATCTTCAGTAGTTGTTAGATCTAAACCTCCAGGATCATTTTTTAAAGGAGCATTTTCTTCCACATCTTCAGTAGAAACTAAATTTTAATTACATGTTAATAAAAAAAACATAAATTTTGACTTATTTAATAATATTTCATAGTTTAAAGATTATAATAAATAAGTAAAAATTTGTATTAATCTCTTTATTAAAATATGGCGCCAAAATTAGAAATTGTATTGGTCTTAATATGATACAATACTTTGAAAGAATTTAAAATAATTTAGTAAGTATTTTACACGTTTTAAAAAAGAATATTTTTAAAATAAAAATTTTTTTATTTCAAATGAGAATTGTCTTTTTTCAGATGGAACTAGAAAGGTGTTTTACAAGTACGTTTTAAACAAAGTGATAAAGAAAACTTAAAAATACCAGGGAAATACCTACAGACCCAGACTTCACATTGCTTCAAAACAAAATAATGGCGGGTAAACAATAAACGTTGGTAAACGAGTAAACCTAAATACTTTTATTTACCAGAAGGTTAAGAAAATTTTCGACGTGATAATGTAGCCGGTAAGCTTTTCAAAATTACTCTATACCTAAAAGTATCTCAAATTTTAATATTTCACACCTTTATATTCTTCTTCGTCCTCGTCTTCTTCTCCTTTTTCTTCCGATTCTAATGCTTCTTGAAGTCTTGCTACAAGAACTGCCTTAACACCCTTTTGGTCTAGACCTCGTTTTGCAAGCTCAGCTCGTAATTCTACCACTTTCAATTTGGCTGGATCCATGTTGAATGTTTACACTTTTCACTTGATAAAAGACACCCAATAATAAAATTTTTGTCAAAATAACACTGAGTAAGGGTCAAATCCCCCAAAATATATTATAGTTAACTGATCACTGAAAAATAATCTTAAACATAAACGCTACAGATGCAATTGTAACAAAAAGTCTGATTGGTTGCTTTACCAAAAACATGGCGTGCCTTCTCCAATTGGCAATTCCTTAACATTTTCTTTGACCGGAATCTTGTTGCTTCCAATTGGTCAACAACTGTCGACATTTTTCTCTACCTTTTATACGCGGAATTTTAAAGTTGTAAAAATTAAGTTTTGTAATGCTTTAAATTAATACAATACAAAAGCCTATAAGAATGCATTTTAATAGAAAATGTAAAATGACTGGAGAAAATTAATAATTTTTTTTTTTAATTTCCCGTTTTCTTAGTTGCCAAGGTGATATCGAACTGTTTGTTGGCATACTTTTATTTGAACTATATTTTACGTAATGGATCCAACGTCAAGTAATCTTGGTAAATGCTAATTTAAAAAAAAAAATTTATAGTATGGCACTTAAAGTTATAAGAATGAATTAAAATTTATGAGATACTCATTATTAAATTTTTTTCTCGGAAGGTCATTCTACTACTGCAGATTTGGGTTCTGAATTAGAGAAAAGAATAACAGAAGCTTTTGAAATATTTGACCATGGCGGTAACCAAACTGTAGATGTAAGAGAAATAGGAACTATTCTACGTTCAATGGGTTAATAAACATTATTTGTATTTGATAAATTATTTATGCTGTGTACAATTTCAACTTTACATCCAGTTTTTAAAAAATACGGTGATTTGTTAATAGGATGTTGTCCTACTGAAGAAGAACTTCAAGAAATTTTGGTAACTGTGGAAGATCATGAAACATCCAGTGTTCGCCTCACTACCTTTCTTCCGGTTGTTACTAAAATTATTACTGAAAGAAAGTAAGTAAATAATTTTATTATAATTTCTCAAACTTTTTGTTATAAATATTACATTAAAACATTTTTTTTTTCTCAAAAGATTACAACCAGCAAGTCCAGAAGAATTACTAAAGGCATTTCACACTATTGATAAAGATAGGAAAGGTTACATCACAAAAGAATACTTAACGGAATTAATAACTAAAGAGGTAAGTTTAATGATTTTGTTTTATTAAATTTGCACTTATATTAATAATTTAAAAACTTTTTCTTTTATTAGGGTGAATCTTTTACTCAAGAAGAACTCGAGGAATTATTAGCAATAGCCGCAGATTCAGATACAGGAAGGATTCACTATGAATACTACATAAATCAAATAATGGTAAGTGTTTTAAATAATTACATCTAACTAATAATTAATTTTAGTAAAATTTATATTAATATATATAATTATAAAAAAGTTTTACCAAAAATTAATACATGTAGGATTATTTTAGATTTTAAAATTTAAAAAAAAGAAAATATTCACAATATAAAACTTTTTAAATTCTCATTTTAACACGAGTTTAAAAAAAAAAATTAAACTTTTTCACTTTTGGGGAAAAAAAAGTGTAATAAGGCATCACCAAAAATTTCTATTTAAAATTTTTTAACTTCTTTATTTGATATTTTAATTAATTAGTCCAATTTAAAAATCACTTTAGATCAAAGTACAAATTTTTCAAAGTTTTGAAAAAACTGGGGGATCTCCTTTAGTAGCTTGAGCTGTTACAGCATTTAAAAAATCTTCACTAAGTAACATTGACATATTGTATAATGCCTGAAATGAAAAAGAAAAATTTTTTTACCACAATTAATAACACATTATAATTTTTTGTACAGGTTGATTAATGTTTTATATCTCCAAAAACTATTGATTCTTTAAAATGGACAAAAAATTTTCAAAACTACAGTGAAATTATTAAATATATATAATTATATTTAAATTTTAAGAAAAAACTCACAATATTTTCTAAGCCTTCATCAACAGTGTGATCTCTAGAATATATTAAACTTCTTTTAGTTACTTGAACAGCAACTGGGCTTTTTTGAGCAATTGTCTCTGCTAATTTGAGAGAGGCTTCAATCATGCTAGACAAAATTAATAAACAAAATTTTGTGCAATGCATTAAAATGTATATTATAATAAATTGATTAACAAAACGAGATGCTTTTTAAAAATAAATAAAAATTAAATATTAAAATACTTTGAGAATTAGTTACCTTTCTTTAGAATCAAATATTTTGCTGACAAATCCACTTTCCTTTGCTTCAGATGCCGGAAACTTTCTGCATGTGTAGGCTAATTCATTCACTAAACTCGTACTTCCAATTATTTTAGGCATTCTTTGTAATGTACCAACATCAGCTGCCATTCCTTATAAAAATTTTAAAACATTTAAATTTAAATCATGGCATCTGGGGATTAAATATATATCGATATTAAATTATTACCAATGTCAATTTCTTTATTTTGAAACCAGGCATCAGAGGTACAATATCGAATGTCAGTTGCACAGATTAAATTTAAACCACCACCAATGCAAGGTCCATGTACAGCCCCAATAACCGGTTTGTGGCACTAAATAACAATAGCAATGATGAGTCTAACTTTTGAATAAATAAAATATAATTTTTGAAATTAATTTATAAGGCAAAAGACCTTTTCAAGAGATGATATACTAGTCTGATATGTTTTTATTAAGCCCCAAAGTATTTTACTTTTTCTAGCAATGTCTTCATGTTGGCTTAATTCTGCACCCAGAGAAATCATATCGTGTAAATCTATGCCTAAAATATATATATATATATAATTTAAAAATAAATAAATAAATTATATAATCTAGGTATAATGTAGATTGAAAAAATTAAAAAACCTGCTGTAAAAAGTTTAGGTCCCTTTCCAGACAAAATAATAACTCTACAATCAGGATTACTGGACAAATTGTTGAAACATTCTCCTATTTCCCTATGTTAAAACAAAACTTGAAATATTCATTCATAAATGAATTTGAATTTTGAGAAATACTTACTTCCACATAGTATTATTCATTGCATTTAATTTTTCTGGTCGATTTAATTCAACATGAACCACAAAAGGTTTAGGATTTGTAAGGGATAAGGTTTTAAATGTAGGAAAAGTGGAACATTTAAAAGCTTGCAGAGTTGATAACTCCATTATTTTAAATGTTTTAAAAACTGAAAACATTATTTTAACTAAATAAAAATTAAATTTGAAATGACATCTATTAACTTAAGAGCAGGCTTAACAAGTATACATTTCAAAATGTACAAAGATCAAAAACTAAAATTTATCTCATTACTCAATGGTAATACCAATAGAAAGCAAAAAAAAAAATTAAAAACGGCGGGATTTTAGGTAAAAAAAAAAAAAAGTTTTAATATTAGAGAAAATAAATATGGGAAGGAAGGTTTGAAAAAAAAAATTATTAAATGATTTTATTTCAATGTCAAATTTATTTAAAATAAAATTTAATTTTTAAAAATAAAAATAAATAAATAATTTTCATTGTATAATTTAAATTATTTGAAAAAAAATTTACATAATGGTTACTTCACTCCACCTTTAACGATAGTAATAAATTTTTTTTAAAATAAAAAATAATTATAAAATAACATTTGTTATAAATGAAAAACTTTTATAAAAAAAGTTTCATTTAAGAAAATATTTAGCCACCCCTCTATTTCTCAATTAGCGACTCGATCTAAATTTAACTACAACAGTTCAACACATATTTTTCAATAATGTTTTTTAGTCTGTTTAACTCATCCTCCATCGTCTCATTTGATTTTTTAACTTTGTAAAAAAAAAAATAAAATTTTTTTTTTTTTTTTTTGTTTTTATTGCTCGTTAATTTAAAAACATTCAGTTTAAAGTTTAAGTGTAAATAATAATCTTCGATTAAAAAAAGTTTTTTTTTTTGTTTAAAATAATTTATTATTACTTTTTTTTTTTTTAAAAAGAAATCACTTAATGAAATTTTTATAGTAACAAACAAAATGAGATTTAGGTGAATTTTTTTTAAAAATATTTTTTATTTAGTTTGAAAAATATCAACAACAATAACAACAACAACAACAACAACAATTTTGAATGAACAAAAATGAATTATGTTGTTTTGTTTTTTTTTTTTTAATTTAAAAATTAATAATATTTAGGTAATCTTATTTATTTTTTGTTTTAATTATAATTATTGTTAGTCATAACCATAAACGACATGATTTTTAAATAATTTTTTTTTTTTTAAATTTTTGATTAATAATTAGTATGAATGACTTAAATTAAAACTTTAGATAAATTTTAATTATTAATAATAAGTTTTCAGTAGAGTATAATAATATAATTATTAATGAATGTACGTTAAGTTTTTTAAAAGTAATTTAATGGATTACAGACATATTCAGTTAATGTGGTCATAAATTGTCGTGTCAGAAGAAACTATAATATTTAAAATTGAAATTTTCGTTTACTTTTAATAAAAATTTAAACGAAAAAAACCTTTTGAATGAGTTTAAAAGTTGTTTAAATAACTTTTTTGCAAAATAATATTAAAGTAAAATAATTTTAATGACGTAATATAAAAAATTAATATTCTTAGAATTAAATCAAAATTTCAATTATGAGTCAATCTGACCAGGAATAGACACCATAAAAAACAAAAAAAAAAAAATTTAAGACAAAAAAACAATTAATTGATTAATAAAAAACTTTTCTTATTTAAATCGTCTGCTATTAAACTATGGTGAGTTGTAAACAATTTAATCCATTTAATTAATTTTTTTTTGTTTTTTTTTTTTTTTTTGGATTTTGACAGCATTTGTTAATAATAATTCATTCAATAAATAGGTGCAATGGACTTTAGACACATTTTAATGTCTTACAACACGTGGAATTGTAATTTTCTCTTCCCCCCCCTCCCTCCCTCCCAAATTTTAAAATTTGTTTACACAAAAAGTGTGACACTACAGGAAAAACAGAATCAAAAAAAAAAAAAAAAAAAATGAGATATAATTGACGTCAAATTTGTTATTGGTTTTGGCAAAGCATTTAGTTTCGTCAGCCAATACACAAATTTTCATTTGTAAAATGAATTCTATTCGAAATAAATATTGTTCAACCATAGAAAAATGAAAAATTATAAGTTTTGCATTTTTGAAACTTTTTTTTTCAATCAATTCTTTGAAAAATTCCAATTTATTCTACTAATATTTTCATAAACAAAATTTCTCTTATTATTTAAATTTAAAAAACTAATTAATAACTTATTAATTAAAAAAATAATTTAGTTAGTAGGTATAAGAAATGAAATTATTAAAAAACTTTTGAAATAAGATTTTTAATATTTACGTGTTGATAAAGTGAATAAATAAATTAATTTTTTATTATTACTAACTAAACTGTGTGTTTTCCGGTAAAATTTAAAAAATGATAAACAATAAGTAAAAAAAAAAAAAAAAAAAGAAAATGTTTTCTTCATTAAAACTTAACTCATTAAAATGTCAATCAAGTGGTGATAGTGGTGATGATAAAAATTTCAAATTTGATGACAATAATTGTGATAGTATAAGTGAGCATACATATGAAAAATTACCCAGTTTTGATAATAATAATAAAACTTGTAAATGTCATTTAAATTCTATTAAAAAATCACCAAAAAATCCGATTAGTAAAAGAATTAGTAAATGTAAGTATTAAAAAAAAAAACACAAAAAAAAACTTTTAAAATGTTTTCAATTTGTTTTTTGTTTATAACAAAATTTACTAAAACATTTTTCTTCGTTTAAAATCATGACTAATAACGTTTTTTTATAAAAATTGATTCATTAAGTTTTATAAAATTTGATTTTACTAAAAAAAAAAAAAAAAGGTCAATCTGTAGAGTTTAAAGAACAAAACACATGGGGAAAACAACCCCTAAAACGTTTATTATGTTCATAAAATTTATTTTTAGTTTTTCAAACAAAACTTTTTGAAAAATGATTAAGAACCACGTCCATTATTTTTACGAGCAAAACTCGTTTTTGAATTTTTTTATTTTTCAATTATTTGATTTAATAAAATTTATTCCAGGGAGAATGGAATGTCCCGGTATATCTAATGTTAAGAATATTGATTCTAATGATGAGCAAGAATCCAAGAATAACTGCGATGGGAGATTTGAAGATATTTTTAATGTTGAACGTATGTAATTTACAGTCAGACAGTTTAACTTTGCAGGCATATCAATTAAATTATTGACTCCAGAACCTCTTAATCTAATTACTTATTACAGACGTAGACCGCGTTAAAACAAAAATTACAACTGTAAATATTGAAAGGGAAAATGGAAATTTAGGTATTACTTTAAGGGGAGGATTTCATCAAAATTCTGATTTATCCCGACCGGTCACAATAACGTATGTTAAGCCTGATGGTCCAGCTGCAAAACAAGGCACGATTAAACCTGGAGACAGACTTTTAGCTGTTGATGGAGTGTCTCTCCAAGGAAGCACTTTAAATGATGCTCAAACTTTACTACTTCAACCTTCTGCTACGGCATTATTAACAATTGAATACGATGTTAATGTACTATATACTATATTTTATGTTGCTTTTTTACTTTTTAATAAATTTGTAATTTATTAACGTTTTCGTGGAAATAATTTAGGTTTTGGATAGTGTGGAACATGCTTATGGACCTTTACTTGTAGAAATAGAAAAATCATATCAACAGCAATTGGGTTTAACTCTTTTACAAAACGAAAGTGGAATTTTTATCGAGAGAGTAAAATTAGGAAGTTTGGCCGATAGGTTTTAATTTATTATTTATTATTACCTTTATTATTTTTTTTTATATAGTAAAAATATTTTTTTTTTTTTATTAAAGATGTGGAGCATTACATGTCGGAGATAAAATTTTAGCAGTTAATGCTACTCGAATTCACGGATCTTGCATTGAACTTGAGGATGTAACAAAAATTTTAGAACAAGAATATCCGGTGATTCGTCTTGAAATTCTTCCTGTTTATGCTGCATCCAGCAATTCTAATCATGGAATATGGAAAACCAAAGGTTTTTTTTTAAATAAATTTTTTAATTATTTTATTTTATTTAAATATGCATTGTTATTTTTTGCGTTACATCGTAGATTTTTTCGGGTCGACGGTATCTGGAGTGAGTACATTGAAAAACAATTCAAACAGAAAAAAAGACTTTAAAAAAGAAGAGAAAGATACGGATTCAGATTTTAAAATTCATTTGGGAAATTTATATGGTGTTACCAGGGGTGAAATAGCTTTGACGCATGCCGAAACAATTCACACGACTTTAACAAGAGAAAATGGATCTTTTGGATTATTTGTTATTGATTCACCTGAAGGAAGCATAATTATCAGTTCCATATTTTTAAATAGTCCAGCGGAAAGGTATAATTTGTTTATTTTTAATATTGGATTTTAAAAAATATTTTGTTTTTAATTATTAGAAATTTATTTCAGATGTCAAAGTCTGTGTCCGGGAGATAGAATTTTAGCCGTTAATCACAGAAGTGTAATTTTGGATAACTTAACCGCAAACGATGTAAATAATCTTTTAGAAACTAAACCTGATGGTTCTCCTTGCTATCGAATTAATTTACTCACGGAATTTGATGTTTTGGATACGGTTGTGCCATCAAGTGGAATTTTTTTGGTTAAATTAGTCAAACGTGGATGTGCAGAACTTGGAATCACAATGATGGGTAATTGATTTAAAAACTTGAAAATTTTTAATCTTTCTTTCTTATTTAAATGATAATAATAATAATTGAAACGGTTATTTTTAGCTTCAAAATCCTCAGGTTTCATAGTTTGTGAAATAAAAAAAGGTTCTCTTGCCTATAGAGCCGGTTCGTTAATACCAGGAGATAGAATTTTGGCAATAAATAGTATTCCATTGGATGAATGCTCTATAGAATATGCAATACACATTTTTAATCAAAGTACAAATATAGTGACATTAAAAGTGCAGAGGAATGATTCTAATCGAGGTTATTTAATTATTTCTTTCAAGTTTTATTCTCAAATAAATAATAGCCCTTTTTTAAATTGTATAATAGTATATTTATTCATAAATTTTATAACAGATTTCAGGAACTACAACAGAAAAATTACTTATACAGTTGATCTTCAGAGGTATGGCGGTCCTTTGGGAATTACAATTGCAGGTTCAGAAGAACTTTCTTATCCCATTACTGTGTCTGGATTAACAGCTGGAGGTCTAGCAGAGCAGACAGGTGTTATTCACGTTGGAGACGAAATTCTGGCTATTAATAATCATTCGTTGTATGGAGAACCATTATCTAAAGCTCACAGTTTATTGAATACCTCTTCAGATTTGGTGTCGCTGAAACTTTCTAGACCTTTAATACCAAGTATGTAATATTATAGATTATTAAAAATTTTTTTTTTTAATTATTGTAATTTCAGTCGGAATTTGAAAAAGATAATTATTAAAGCTAACTTATTTATTATTTAAGTGTGCAGATTATCCGATAACAGAAGTCCAATTTTACCCCCGTCAATTGATAGTGCTGTAGAATCTTGGGATAGTTCACATTTGGATTTGGCGCCAAGTCCAGAACAACAAAAACCTACAAAAGATATTCGAGGTTCGTTTTTAAAAATTTTATTTTGTTTTAATTAAAATATTTTTCACGTAAAACTAATTTTTTGCGCATTTAAAAAAAAAAAAAGGAAAAAGAAACCCTAGTGCCACAACTACACAAATGTGTCCGATAATGTCGGACATGACTTCTTCAAAAGAAGAAAAAGAAAATTCGGATGCCGATTTTGTTTTAAATTTAGAAAACAGTAATGATTCGGATTTGGCGATATTGGATGAAATAACATCGGAAAATTTAAAAATAAAACGTGAATTAGATATTTTATCGATAAAGTTAGATGAACAAAGGAAATCAAAAGTGAATCAAAGTGAAAATAAATTAAACTCACCTCAAATAAATAGTATTTTAAATACGGACGTTGAAAATTCAGATTTTTTTTTTGAAACATTTCCCAGAACGCATAGTAAAAGTTTAACTAAATTTCCTAGTGGTAAAAAAAAATTAAACAATGGCGATGTTTATAAAGATTCGTCTACGTGTAGTATCGCAGAAAAACACCAAGAAGAATTAAGTTCGTTTTGTACAAATAATTTTGATGAAAATTTTGGCAGTTATGAATCGGAAATGAGGAAAACATGCGAAAGTCAAGCATTTGAGTTGAATCATAATCAAGATTCCGAAAAATGCGAATTTCAATCATCTCAGTTATATGAAGTAAGAGAAAAACGATTATAAACAAAAATTCATTTTGTTGACCCGTAGAAAAAAATTACGTGGAACTAGATGAAAATGATTTAATCATTTTAGGTAACATTACATAAGGATCCCGTTTATGAAGATTTCGGTTTTAGTGTTTCTGATGGGCTTTATGAAAGAGGAGTTTTTATTAATAGAATAAGAAAAAGTGGGCCGGCAGACTTAAGTAATGTATTAAAACCCTATGATAGAATTTTGCAGGTAAGCTAATATAATTTATTCAGTTTAAGTTTATGTAGTTTTTTAGCATTTAAGTATTACGGTTTTCTTGCCAGGTTAATAACACCTACACACAAGACTTTGATTGCTGTTTAACAGTTCCCTTGATTGCTTCTGCTGGAAACACTTTAAATCTATTGGTAGCAAGAAATCCTGAAAAGAATGATTCAGATACTGTAGGAAATTATTTTCAAATTTAAAATAATTATACCAGTTAAATATTATTATATTTAATTTAATATTTCAAATTACAGATTTTAAACTGTGAAAAATTTCAAAAAAAAGAATTATCTACTGCTACAAATTTAATAAATTCTAACAACGAAGAAGGAGTGCGAAGAATTGTAGTTTAAAAAATTTAAGGTATTCATTTTAATGTAATCCTATTACAATATTTTGATTAAGTTTTAAATCGAAATCACTTAAAAACACCTTTTAAGTATTAAAATATAAGTCTTATAGTTAAGGCCATACTTTATTATTATACAAAAAAAAAAAAAAAAATTTACAATTAAATAATCTAATTAAAATTTTTTTCTCCTCTACATGAAAATATTCAAACAAAAGTAGGTTTTTTTTAAAATAAAATGTAAGTAACCTAAAATACTTTGTAATATTAATGTAAAGGCACTTTTTTATAAAATTAAAATTTTTATTATAATGGCCATTGAAAAAAAAAAAAAAAAAAGAAAAAAAATTGCATTTGGCACTAGCTGTAAAAAAATTTGTACAATTAATATGTTGACAGCTAATAAATATATACTTATTACCACAGTTATTATAAGCTACAGATTAAAATTAATTTAATTATTATGCCTTAAAACTTAACAAAGCCATTTAATTAAAAACTAATTAAATTAATGTAATTATTTCAAAATGCTTTACAAATACAGCGAATACTAAACAAACACTAATTTCATTGAAGACTATTTCTTCAAAAGAGAGAGAGAAAAAAAATTATACACAAGTTAATAATTAAAATAAATTTTAAACCAATTTTTGGAAACATTTACTTTTTTTTTTTAATGTTAATATTATGAAGTCACTTCTTCGGGAGCTCCATCAAATTCAAGTTTAACTTCTTCCTGAAGTCCTTCCACATCGACTTCTGATTCAGGTGCATTTAACATATTTAATGTTACCTCTGATTTACCAATAAGTCCAGGTTGAGTCGCTGTTTGCTGAACAGTTTGAACTGATTGTATTAATGGCCTTTGTACAGGTAATCCAGCATCTTCAAAAGCTTTCTTCTTAAGTGTGGTTCTTATTTGAGATCTAAAAGTAAATTTTTCAAGTATTGTAATAAATTTTAAATTTTATGTAATATTACAGTACAAAAATGTATTTAAAAATATGTATTTAAGTAATCTTACTAATATTTTTTTAAACAGAGTAAAGAAATTGAGAAGTTTCAATTGGCAAACTTACACAGTTTTTTCTTTGATGTGCTCACTAATAGTACGTAAATCTTCAGCAAATCTATTGACAGCTAATCGAAGCATCTCAATTTCTTCATCTGTCCATTTTGTGCTGAATATGTGTATAAACATTAGTTGTAAAAGTTTTTAATTAGATCATAAATGTTTATAAAAATAGCTACCAATGGATACATACCCTGCTGTTGAATCAGCAGTAGGATGGAGTTGCATTGTAAGTTCACCTAACTGATTAAATGCTGTACCAGCTGCAGTGAAAATCTCCCCAACCTAAAAAAGAATATATATATTAATATAAAAAGAAATAAGTATATTTAAGTTGTGCATATATTTTAATTTGAATGTTTCAATCTCTAAATTAGTAACTTTAATGATAATCAATTTATGTCTCTTTTAAAAAAAAAAAAAAAAGGCGGTTTAATGTATACAAGTATCTAAAATTTTTACAATTGGAATTAAAGGTACTACCTTACTAGCTGAATTCATTTTACTCCTAAAATGTATTTCTTCGCTAAAAACAGTTTTACTAATTTCTGCATGTAAATTTTATATATTTTTAAAAATAAAATGCATTAGTGACGCCATTGCATTCGCCAATACAATATTTAATAGTAGCAAATTTAAAGCTCAATAATAAAAAACATGTTTGCTACGTTTAAAGTGTTGTATTTGAACAGTTAAAATTATCTTAATTAAATTATACATTTTAATGTTTTTCATCATTTAATTATTTAAAATCAGTCGAGTCGTTAAATATTTGATAATTATTTAGCTTAACATGAATATAAATCGAAATTCTCAAAAAAGATACAAATGGGCAATTGATCTGAATTCAAGGTATTATTTATTTTCAATTTACTTATAATTTGTAAGAAAAGTTATTACTTTTTTTTTTTTTTTTTTTTTTTTTAATTCTAGATCCAAACCGGAAAAATTTGTTGAACTTCCCTCTCCGCCTGGTTATAGTTCTTCAGTTGCACAAGTTCATACTGAATCCTCAAAAGAAAGTGACACAAGTCATTTATTAAAAAAAAAATCATGGGAGGTTGCACTGGGCCCATTGAAACAAGTTCCCATGAACCTTTTTATTATGTACATGGCTGGAAGCTCGATATCAATTTTTCCAATAATGATGGTTGGCATGTTAATTGTTAGACCAATAAAAGCTTTATTTACTATTAAAAACACTTTCAAAATGATGGAAGGTGGACATGCTTCTCAGCAAAAATTTGTGTATATATTAGGAAATTTAATAAATATTGGTTTTGCACTATATAAGTGTCATTCAATGGGCTTATTACCATCTCATTCATCTGATTGGTTAGCTTTTGTCGAGCCCCCCTTAAGAATGGAGTATTCTGGTGGTGGACTTTTGTACAGTTAAAAAAATTTATTTATGACAAAAGAATTATAAAAACAAATTTCTTATTTGAAATTTTTTAAATTTAAAAATAGGTGTTTGATTTAATTTTTATTCAAAGATATTTAACATTAATTATGGCTTATATTTTGTTTTATTAAAAATATATTTAGCATTTTACAAAAACAGTAAAACATAATTAAAAGTTCATGTATAAAAAAAAAAAAAAGAAAAAATTCTATGACCAAATGTTTGAGCCCTCTATAAATACATAATATAAAATAAAAAAATAAATAACCTATTTTTTTAATATTAATGGCATTAAATATTTCTTAACAATATTATAAAGTTTCCATAATATTACTTTTATAATTTTATGAGTCAAAAAAAAAAAAAATTATACTAAAAAAATACTTTCAAAATTTTGACTTTTTTTAAAGTGTCTGAGTATTAGAAATTAAATAATTTTTTTTGTGAAATATATATTTGCAATGCTTTAAAAAAAAAAAAAAAAAAAATTATAATACTTTTAAAACTTGTCTAATCGCTTTGTGAGAATCTAAAAATATCAATGTTCATTTTTCTTTTTTGGATATAACTCCTGATTTACTTTAAAAACAAAAAAAAAAATGAACATTAACAAAAATCAGGTTTTATTTTTTAAATTTATAAGTAAGTTAAAAACTTAATTAAAATTCAAAAATTTTGAATTACATTTAAAAAATATTTGTAAACTATATTTAATAACAACTTTGTCTAAAAGTTTAAATTGATGATAGTTATAAGGCGAAGAAAAAAAAAATTATTTTCAATAAAAAAACTATGATGTTGGTTGTAAAATATATATATAAATCAAAGAAATTGTACATAATTAACAAGGAGTACTATACAGAAAGCTTTGAAAATATTCAATTAAAAATTTCTTATATCCAATGTTCTAAAAGTGCTTTTTTTACTCGCTTTCAAAGCAAGGTTGTTTCTATCACAATTGAATTTTTTTTTTTATGCAAATCATTTTTAATCTTTTTTTATAAATTTAATTATTTCTTCTATTATTTCTTTTGGATTTTGAACCTTAGGAGGTTCATAATTTTGGTCTATATATAAGCCTGTGTAAACACCTAAGACAAACATCACCTGAAAAGAAATCATAATATATGTATATAGATAAACAATTGAATTTAATACAGAAATTGAAAAGTATTTCAAGTATCAGGTATTAAAATAATTTTTTTTGTGAAATGTTAATTTGAAACGCTATTTAAAATAAAATAATTAATTGCAATTATTAATAACTTGTAAATTTTGATACATATTATACTATCATCTCAGTTAATATTATAAAACATTATGTTTACATTATAAAAATTATTCTGTGATAATAATACGCACAAGACTTTAGAATTTTTTTTCGTTAATGCCGCTTACATCGATTTAAAGATTTATTATTTTAATTTTTATTTAAAAAAATTAAATTAAATAAAAAATTAATTTGATTAATTTATAATAATTTTTCAAAGTAGATTAAATTAAAGAAATTTAAAAAGAATACTTTTGTAATCCGAAATTCCATTCGAAAAAAAAGTGAAGTTCTACACTGGCAAGTTTTAAACTTGCACGAGCATCAAAATTGTAATCTATAAATATTGTTTATAAAAGAGGATGAAAACGATAAATGTAATATATTGTCCAAGTTAAATTACAATACATAATTCTTACCAAGCTTCTCATCCTTAAATATTGTAAATGACTTAAAATACAGTGATTATTAGGAATTTGAAATCAGGACAGATTTATAGCAGAAGATAATTATGCAACATTTTTTTTAGGAGAACGAAAATTTACAAAGCACCAAAAGAAAAATGGTGGATTTTGGGTTTACTTGATGAAGGTGTACGGAAAAACCATTTTGTTTAAATTTTCATTGCTGTAAGAGTGAATTTATAATAAAAAAATAAACTATATACTGATATTATGTGTTGTTATTAAATTTTGCTTGATAAAAAGAAGTTATTGTGGTGCAAACTACGATTAATTTACGCGTGCTTTTTGGTAATTCACGTTTTGTTGGCAACAAACCGTTTAGAAGTGATAGTGGATCGATTTCACTACCAAGTTATAGTTATCAAATATTGTGTGATTGTTTCAGAATTAACGTCACATAAAGAGTCAATGTTTTCTGGAAATGGTCTGTAAAGAAGACGTTGTACTATGGTTTAATAAATTAAGTGGCCACAAGCGAATAGACGTTATGTGTACCTTACTCAATAAGTGCCTACCCACAGAGCTGAGGTTCTTCGGCACTTGCCTCGAGGACCTTGGCAAACAGCATTTTAATCAGATGAAAGATTTTGAAGTGAAAGCTAATAATCCTGCTGAGTTATCTGAATTACTTGTGCAGTGTATAATTAGTGATGCGAGGACCCGTCAAAAGCTGGCGCTTTATATATGTCTAATTCATTCGTTGAACACCACATGTTCTACTAATTTATATAAGATTCTTTCTACACTTGATATAAGCCAAATTGTTCCATTTAATAAAAATACTGATGAAAAACTATTGGAAGAACTTCTTTTGATTTATACAATTGCTGTAAATCACCCTGCCTTTACATTTGAACAAAAAGTTACTCTTGGGTACATTTTATTACTGTTAAGACAAAAGGAAGAACAATTTCAATCATCAAAACTTCCTGAAGGACTTAGTGAGGAATATGTCAATTCAGCATTAAATTTGACTTCAGCAGATTGCACAGAAGTACCACCTGCCACTAACCCCAATTGCCCAGATCTACATCCGAGAAATATTCCACCAGGTAAAATAAAATTTTAAAAAATTTTTCTTATCAAGGGAAATTAGTATTTAGGGAAAAGTTGTTAAGCTAATATTATTGATTAAATGAATGTACATTCTAAATTTTCACTATTCTTGTTGAAAACCAGTTTAGCCACTTATTGCAATGTTTAGGCTCATTTTATTTGCTAAGCAATGATGATCCCTAATTGCAGTAATCGAAAAGATCTCTTGCAACTTAGTATAATTTCTTTACAGCTTTTAATTTCTTATTAAAAATTATAAAAAAAATTTTAATTATTGATATAATTTTCTATGAAAAATTTATTTTCATTTGTTATAATTAATGTATCCCATATTATTAGTTAAAATAAATTTCTAACCAGTTTGAATTTTTTTCATAACATAAAATAAGTTTTTTTCAGTTGTGTATTGATAATAAATAAATTTAACTTAAATTTGTTGCAATTTATATATGATTTCGATTATTGTTGTAAAATCTTGTTTTAATTCTTATGGTAGTTTTAATTTTAAAAAAAAAAAAAAAAAAAAAAAAAACAATATTTATTTTATTTATTATTTGATTAAACTGTTTTTGCACATTTATACAAATTAAATTTTATTACTATTCAAATTTAAATAGGAACCCAAATTCATTGGCAAATTTTTAAATAATGTTTTAGTAGATATTGATTATGAATTATTTTTAATTTTTTTTTTTTTTTTTTTTTTTTTTTTCCAGGAATAAATTATCCGGCAGCTTTGGGATCGGCTGGCAATTACATTCAAATTCCAACTTATCCACCTTTTCCTATTCAACAACATCCTCCGATATTGTGGCAAGTTGTAAATATACCTAGCTTGCCTGCGGAACCAATGGCGGTTCCAGAAATGGCACCGCCTGTACCGGGAACTGTCAATTTTCCTTCTCCGCACATTAGTCGTCAGTCTTCACCGTCGCAATCTGCATCGCCCAGCCGAACCTCTTCTCCCGTTAGAGTAACTTATCATCACAAAGTTGAACGAAGTAATTCCCAATCTCGAAACAAACCGAATTATCCTGAATTTTCTTATCAGAATCCGACAGTAATGAATGTAAATATATCGAAAAAAAATTGCCTGGAACGTTTCGAAGGCAAAGATATTGATGTAAAAGCAGAAGACGAAGTAAGTATTTACGTTTATTTTAATTCGAAAAAAAAAAATAATGAAAAATAAAAAGTAACATTTTTTTATATATTTTAACATAGCAGATGCGTGGCCTTACTGATAGAAAACCCGATTTAGGAAATGATGAAATTCATCAGTTAAGAACTGCAGTAGTTAATGGAATTGCAGATTCTGAACATAGAGATTTTCCACATTACATAACTAGAACCAAGGGATTCGAAGGCGAGGTATGTAAGGTTTTATTATTAATTGTTTTTTTTTTGTTTTCATATTTTTATTTGTTCAAAAACTTTTTTTTTTTTTTTTTTTTTTTTTTTAGATTTCTCATTCGAATGTGCCAATACTCCCTCGGCCTTTAGAGACAAATATGTTGTCTAATCAGCCTCCTTCAATAATTCCAATCAAGCCCTGTTGTGTATCTGGGACAGGACCGAGGTACTTTTTATTTATTTATTAATAATTAATATCTTATAAAATACAAAATGAAAATTTATAATAATTTTTAAATTATTACAGGTATTCGCCACAAATATATTGTGATCACAATCTTCAAGCACTCAATTTAGATAATGATGGAAGCCGTCATTGTTCTAGTAGTAGCAGCAATTCAGATGCATCCAGCACAAGTCATTCACCACCTGCTACGCCTGCTAATCCTAATCAAAACTGGGAGAGAGGTTTGTGTAAAGTTTAAAAAAAAAAATACATTTAATAATCCCAATCCCCTATCCCAATAATTTTTTGATATTTACAAATGGTGGTGCCTTTTTAATGAAATAATATGTTTTACTGAAAATTTTTAAAGTTTATTTTAAATTCTAATTAATATTCCCCATTAATATCGTTAATAGTCAGATGCTCAAAATTCAAATTGTTGAAATTGTATCGTAATTAATTTTTGCAGGTGGGACGGACAAGCCTCATAGAGTTTACGAAACGTCTGAGGGAAGTTCAGAAGGTACGGGAAATATCGCAGCCACGGTTTCGGCACTTCCTAAGCAGGAGCGTACTAGAATATTTGCAGGAAGAGGTCGCGGCCGTATAGGAAACCCAATGGGTATTCAAACATTGCCAAGAGGGCGAGGACCTCACTCAAATTTAGTAGTAGATAATAGTCATAAAAATTCATTTATTACTCGTAAAGATGGTCCTCGATCTGCACCGCCTACTCCTCACGATGACAAAAAGGTTAGTAGTGTATATAAATAAAATACTCATTTGTATTTAAAGCCTTTTGATTTTCATTCACTATTTATATACTTCTTTTTTAAAAAAAGTAAACTTAAGGACTTTTAATACTGGTTTTTGCTGCGAGTTCTTAAAACTTCTTAATATTCTATTCATGAGTTTTGTACTTTATTCAGTATTTTCACTTTTTTTGCATACGTCCCCCATATATATATATGTTAAAAATATTTCCAAATATCGTGAATATTCCTAAGGGCAATACATGGTTTCAGGGCTACGTGGTGCCTTCGGCAGAGGCCCCTCAGTCTTCTTCAACAATGGCACTTCCGCTTCCGTCAAGTGGAAAGCCTCCCAACCACGAAATGGTCGCCAGCGGGGTGCCTTATTCTACTACCTTTTTCCCAACCCATTTTACCGGCCCTCCCATGTTTCATACCTACCATGGCGCTTTTGTCAGGCCTTCTTTTCATTTTCATAACGGAGAAATACAAATGTATCCTTATCAACCTCAGCCTCCCTTTGTCCCTTCATCTGTTGTTACTTACTCAAGTACCATACTGCCACCAAAGATAGCGTGTTATAACTGCAGTAGTCAAAGTCATCACGCCAGCGAATGCAAAGAACCGACCATGGAAGAATACACTAGCAAAGGTTGTATCACGCACATTTATGGCATTTTCATAAAATGATTAACAGATATTTATTTATTTATTTTATAAAATAAATAAACTCGTTGTAATATATTAAATTTTTGCAGTTGTAAAATAAATTTATATATTTTTTTTTTTTTTGTTATAGGTCAATACCGGATAGATTATAAACCTTACAACAAACAAGGAGAATGTTTGTCAGAAAAGTGACGGAATCGGATAATTGCTTATCTTCCCCTCTTTAATCGGCCACACTAATTGTTCAACCTTATCAATCTGCAAATTCGTAAGCGAACAAAATAAAAAAAATTCATTTTTTTTTTTATTATAATAAGTGTGTGAAGTTGCAGAAGGCTTCGAAGAATAGGGCAAAGTAAAAAAAACTCGAGGAAAAATTGAAAGAAAAAAAAAATTTTTTTTTTTTTTTTTTTTTTTTTTTTTTTCTTTCTGGCATTTTCTTTATATTTATTTAGGGAATAAATGGAAATCGCTGAGAACAAAAGGTGGGGATCATCATCATCATCATCATCATCATCAATCATAGGGGGGAAAATTTGTTGATTTATTTTTTATTTCTTGTTTAATTTATTTATGTCAATTTGACGGGAAGCTTTAAAATCCCTCATGTGATTTATTGTGTCATAATTAAATTGAACCTGTATAAACTATGATGGTTATGGTTAAGCATTTTTCTTTGTTTTTCAATTATTATTATTATTATTATCATTATTATTATTATTTTTTTTTTACTGATATGCAAAAAAAAAAAAAAAAAAAAAAAAAACAAAAAAATTGGATAAAACAGGAAAATATTTGGTGAAAAGAATTTAAAGATGGCCTGATATGAAAAACGCCCTTTGTGGAAATGATAATAATAGCTGCTGTAAAAATGATTCTGTCATTCATTTTAATAATTGGGAAAAAGAAAAAAAATTTTTTTTGTTTCATTTTCTGATATGGTAAATATTGTGCTTAAATATCAGTGATTTGTTAACTATAAAACGCTTATTATTATTAAATTTTTTTTTTTTTTAAATTTAATCTTATTGTTATACATAAGAAAAAAAAAAAAAAAATTGAAAAATGTAAAATACTTTATTAAAGTAAATATTAGAATTTGGTTGTAATAATAAATTTTTTTTTTTTTTTTTTTTTTTTACATTTTGGTTTTTAATTAAATTTCAATCGTCAACACAAAATTATTATTATTATTATTGTTAAGTACAATATAGGGAAAAATTTTTTAAATCTGCCATATCAGTTCGTAATAATAATAAATTTATAATTTATTTTTTTTTTGCTTGTTTGTTCGAATAATAAAATTAAGGGAAAGGGGATTCCCCGAATAGGTTTCAATATTAAAATGATGTCAGATGAATGGCAGATGGTAGTGGCAGCTTTAAAAAAAAAAAACAAAATTTCTGTCGATTCCAGTGATAGAACTTGAAATTAATTTATTATAAACATTTACCTAATACCACTTAATTCTACCATTATTTATGTATTATTATTATTATTATTATTATTATTATTATTAATTATTTTACTAATGTAATTTTTTTTTAATGAAAAGTTAAATACTTAGTTAACAAAAGGGTCATACAATCAATATTTCTTGTCTCTTCTCAATAAAACAAAAAAAAAACAAAAGTTAATTGCTTTATTAAGTTTTGAAAAATAATTTTTTTTTTTTTTTTTTTGTCAAATATAATTTTTTTGAGAAGTTATATAAAATATTACTTTTGCTCACTAATTAATTACTTATAATAATTTATCTTATTAATTAATATATTAAATAAAATATGTTGCTCAAAAAAAATAATAATTAAATGCGTGAATAATTTGCTTTGAAAGGACGATCTCAGTATATCTTGAGGACCTTTTTGAGGACTAACCTTTTATAAGTATTTATTTATATATATATATATAATCAATTGATGTTTATAATTTAATCAATCAGCTTTCTAACAAATTTTATTTATTTATAAAATTAATAATAATAATAATAATAAAAATCGCACATTTTTAAACATATATATATTTGTAAGCTTTTATTAAAATATTATTTTGAACTTTTTTTTTTTTTTTTTTTTTTATTTATTTATCAACTGATTTGTAGTGATATGAAAAGCAAATGTGAAAGGGGTTGATTGCGCAAATACAAATAATATAAATAAAATCATTAAAATAAATTTCATCAGGCCTAATTGTATTGAAATGATTTAATTATTAAACATTATTAAAAAAAAAAAAACAATTTGTAAAAAAAAATAAAAATTTTTTTTAAAGACCCTTTAAAATTGTACACTTTATAAATTTATTTTATTTATAGTAGAGTATTTTTTTTATTTTTTATTTATAATTAATTAATTAATTAATTTTTGTTTTTGTTTTTTTTTTTTAATAATCATATTCAAATTATTATGTACGTACTAAAATATAAATCTAAATTTTTTTTTTTTGTAAAAATTTTTTTTTTACGGAGGGGAAGATATAAATTGATAATTTTTTTTTGCATGTAAAAATTAATAATTTTTATTTTTAAGTTATTATTATTATTATTATTATTATGGCCTGTTTATGTAAATAAAAACAAAAAAACAAAAAAAACAGTTAAT